AAAAAACCCGAGCAATTCGCACCCCCATACAGCAGAGCAGCAGCCAGAAGTAGTAGAGCAGAGCAGATCTGGAATTTTCTGCAGGGGGAGAAGGTTTCTAAACTCCTAAATCTTGTTCTTGGACAAGAAAAGAAGGGAAAAATCCAAGCTTCTTACCGGTTTTTCAAAAGGAAGAGGCACGTCGGTGGCTGGCTTCCTTGCTCGAGCAAGGGGAAGAAAAGAAGACCAGATGCGCGGGTGAGGAAGAAAAAAAGAAGAAAAAAAGAAGAAAAAAATGCCAGCCGATCCTTATCCAATTTCTTTCCCTCTTTAAGTCCCTCAAGTTTGGAAATTTTGGTTATTAAGCCCAAAACAATATTTTCTCACAATCAAGTCCTTAAATTATAAAATTTCCGAAATTTTAGGATATTACATTTACCCCTCCTAAAAAGGAGTTTTATCCCCAAAACTCGAATTTAGGGTCGTCTCAAGTGGTGAATGGCTTCACACAATCCAAGATAACAAATGCCCCACTCACTTTCTATGAACAGATATGGCCTACTACACTTCCACTGCACCACTCCGATATCAAACCACAACTAATCTTAAAAATATAACACTAACTACTTATCAAGATTTACCATGAAACAAGCTACTGGAGGTTAGGGTGATATGGGAAACACAAGGAATAGAAATAAATCCTACCAAAGCCACAAAAAAAACAGTTGTGGGGTTACGCTATAAACCCAACACAAGACGAGTTGGCAAAGAATGGCATGGATTTAAAGACGAGTACAACAAAATGTTGAACTCTATCAAAGACAAATAAGCATCCAATGGATATATGGATCATAAATGAATGAATGACCGCATAGATGCCGTATAAATTCTGCCACAACAAGGTTAACCAATAAACAAGGTCATGTTTAACAAACAAGGTCATGTTTAACAAACAATTGGAATCAAGAGACAGATTTTAGCAATTAACAAGAATTAAAAGCTAGACCCATCAAATGACATGTTAAATTTCCAGAATAACATTAGAATGAAATCATTGGAAAAATATGAATGCTTGGAAGAACGTTGAAACAAAAGAGTGCAAGGTAGAATGCCTCAAAAATTCAGCAACAAAACGGCATTCACCAAGAATCAAGATCAAATTTAACCAAGCAGTCAAAATTGAGAGACAAGAGTTAACCATGAAACAAGCAATAGAATTCAAGGATTAGGCCCACAAGAGAGATTTCAATAATAACAACCAGAACACAGATTCAAGAGCAAATATAACCAGGATGTCAAGATCTAGCACCCCAAGTAACATGAATTAATTGACAGAATAATCAATAATGGGGATCAGGATACTTAGCAGATTGTTGTCTTCTAATTAAAAGGGCAAACAAAAATCAAAACAACCAGATAATAAAAGAACCATTTCTCTTGGAACACAACTCTAGGGCATCAGGTACTTCAAAGACTACCCCTTCACCTCGTAGCCCATGGAGGCTAAGCAGATTTACAATCAAGTCATCCTAGACATCCTAGAGTCAAGTCAAAGCTAAGACATCAAGGATACGGAGATTAACACTTGCATGAGATAAGAATGAGGATGGCTCATATAGGTATTTTCTAATAATCATCACCCCTCCTAAAGAGGTGTCCATATGAACAAAAATCAAAAATCAAGAAGATCAACAAGTATACTAAAACAAGAACTAGCAGAATATGCAGGATTTGCGCAAGAGTAGTATACAGAATTTGAACAAGAGTAGTATACAAAATTTGAGCAAGAGCAAGAGCAAGAGTCAAGAGCAAGAGTCAAGACAAGAATGGTTTTCAAGGACAATCCAAAATAGATTTCAAAAACCAAATATCAATTGATTTTCAAGAATAGATTCCAAGAACAATATCATTCGATTTTCAAGAGTAGAATTCCAACAAGAATTAATTTCAAGCAAGGTTTACGAATCGATTCCAAGCACAATGACAGAAACAGTTTCAAGAAATAGTTTCAGACAAGTATCAAGATAATGAGGATTTCAATAATCATTATCCATTTCTGGATTTCAGTTTCAAGAACAAGTACAAAGCAATCTCAAGAAAGATTCAAGATGGATTTCAAGAGTTTCAAGCATTTCCAAGTATCAAGAATGTAAAGATTAGCAACAATAGAGAGTCTAACTTTATGACCACTTGCCAATCTTCACAAAAATACGATAATTTCAATTGAATTGATCACTGTTTTTGATTAACCAATATAGAAAAATGAGCCACATGAAAAGACCTTGAAGCTCCAAATGAAAAAAGTGAAATTTCACCATAAGATTTTCAGAAAGATAATGAGTAACGAAATTACCAAGTTATCCAGTTCCTAAAATGCATCTAGAAAACACACAACATTTGCTAAAATAGCCTTGAATCTCTTACAAAGTAGAGGATTGCCCATCTTCCACAAGTCATGTGACAAACAGAACAAATTTCTCAACCAACTATGCTGTAGAGACCAACAGGATCAATAACAAAAGATCTCTGCAACTCCCCAGATTTTACAATTGTGGCAAAAGAGCATACAGAAAATTCTATTCAAGTCACAAGTCTAAACAAGTGCAGACTATCAGAAAATGACCAAGTTTCAAAACAAGGTCTTAAGAACATGGCGACCAAGATTAATTTCATGAATCTACACAGGGTATGAAGGCAAGAAACAAGAACAATCCAATTACCATCTCATCAAAATGGATTAGAAAATTCAGGCAACATGAATCAGAATCGTCCTTTATATAACCCCATCACTCATCTCACCACGATTCTAAAATCCACTGGCCAGCCAAGTTCTAAACAAATCCTAGGTATTCAATTAAACCTAGGTATTCAATTAAACCTAGGTATTTAATTAAATCTAAGCTCTGATATCACTCAATCTACTTTGATACCACTCAATCTGGAGGTACTTAATTTAAGTTTAAGCTCTTAATTTAAACCTAAGCTTTGATACCATTCAATCTGGAGGTGCTTAATTTAATCCTAAGCTTTTAATTTAAACCTAAGCTCTGATATCACTAGATCTGTCACGCCCCAGAACCCAAATCTGGGGACGTGGCAGACATCGTGCACTCGTGAGAAGGTCCCACAAATGCACAAGGCTCGAAACTTATCCAATTCACATCTAACACTCCAATAACTTAAATCAAATACCTCAATTTATTTCTATATCCAAAATGACTTAAATCAAGTAATTGATCTAATGACCGAAATCTGTTTTGATCTTATAAATTCAAGGTAAAATTTATCATACAAAAGCATGATTTATTTCTAAAATCTATATCAATCTCGAAATGGCTAGCCTTCTAACTCGTCACTTTCCGTGGTTTCCCCGTCCTTGGTTTCGCTTCCTGAAATGGTGGACAAGGAAAAACTATGAGATAAACTTAGTAAGTAAAATATGGAGTGCCCCTTATTAAACTTATAGCATGCCAACAAGTGTAATCATAATAAAAAAAAAAATGGTTACAGTGCGAGAACGAAATAGACGTCTCCTCTATAGGTCATGCCAGTGTTATAAACCTCCCATTGGCAGGTTACACTATTTGCTGGTGTATAATCCCCACTAACAGGGTCACTCGAACGAACCGATTCTATCAATAACATGTCGACATGTGCTAGTGTTTAACCCCCACTAGCAGGGTCACTAATAATGTCACGCCCCAGAACCCAAATCCGAGGCGCGACAAACGCCGTGCACTCATGAGAGGGTCCCACAAATGCACAAGGCTCAAAACTTATCCAATTCACATCTGACAATCCAATAACTTAAATCAAATAATTCAATTTGATTTCTATATCCAAAATGACTGAAATCTAAGTAATTGATCTAATGATCGAAATCTGTTTTGATCTCATAAATTCAAGGTAAAATTTATCTTACAACAGCATGATTTATTTCTAAAATCTATATCAATCTCAAAATGGCTAGCCTTCTAACTCATCACTTCCCGTGGTTTCCCCATCCTCGGTTTCGCTTCCTAAAATGGTGGATAAGGAAAAACTATGAGATAAACTCAGTAAGTAAAATATAGAATGCCCCTTATTAAACTTATAGCATGCCAACAAGTATAATCACGAAAAATGGATACAGTACAGGAACGAAATAGACATATAGGTCATGGCCAGTGTTATAAACCTCCCACTGGCAGGCTACACTATTTGCTGGTGTACTGGCAGGCTACACTATTTGCTGGTGTATAATCCCCACTAGCAGGGTCACTCGTACAAACCGGCTCTATCAATAACATGTCGACATGTGCTAGCGTTTAACCCCCACTAGCAGGGTCACTAATAACATGACCACATTGGAGACAAAACAGGCAAAAATTAACAGAAAAATCATAATTCACCAATCACTTTCAAATCATCAGGACAATCAATTATATTTCAAGTAAGCATGCTCAATTTAATGAAAAGCATAAAAATTCCATTTCAATCGATCATACTTGTGTAAAACGGGTTTAGTCTCGCCACCACTTCAAAAACAAATCAAAACATGCTTTTAAAAACTGTGGGCATTACCATAAATTTACTTACCTCAAATCGCATAAAACCGAAGACTTAATCTCAGTGCTAAACTGACAGAACGATCAGGAACTTAATCAAAATATTCCAAAATTAATACTGCACTATCACAAATTCAAAGTGAAAACTTCATTAGGATCACGCCTAATCACGGTGCTATTTCAATTAGTCTCCATATAACCGGACATCTCCACATTTATTCTTATATTACAAACTAAACATTTAAATCCCCGTTAATTGTTGGCTATCTGTGCGTGAATAGTGCCCTGAACAGTGCCCGTGAACAGTACCATGAACAGTAACCACACTTCCAAAAATTGGCAAAACAATGGCTAATTCACAAGATTTTTCTCTCCAAAAATCACAGTAATCAATTAACACTCAATCACATAAATCCTACTTGAATTAATGCTTAA